GGCTGCTACCTGAAGAGTGACCAGAAACTAGGCCAGACTGGACTAACCCCCTTACTAACTTACACCCCCACCATCTCCAGAAACCCACACCTCTAACACCAACATGTGTTCCCAAAAGGAAAAATACAATTATTCCAAGCTTTAATAGTCCTTTTAAACAAGAAGCACTGCTCACAAATTTAAAGAAATAGGGGCCAGCGAGATGGCTCAGTAGAATAAGCGCTTCCCTGGCAAGCACAAGGACCTGAGTCCAATCCCTGGTTCCAGAAAAAAAAAAAAAGGAAAAATAAGAGACCTTAACAACTGCTTTCTAATTCTTTGAAAGAGAGTTGGGAGGAGCTCAAAGGGCAAATTGGAAGTGATCAGAATATTTCTCCCTTTGTCTGTCTGTCTGTCTGTCTGTCTGTCTGTCTCTCTCTCTCTCTCTTTCTCTCTCTCTCTCCCCACCTCTCCCTCTTGCTCTTTGCTCTTTCTCTCCCACTTTTTTCTCCCCTCCCCTCCTCTCTTCTCATCTTTTTTCTTCTCACTCCTTTGCCTGACTCCCATCATTTATGTGTATAATGTTTAAGTTGTGATTACTGAATGACAGGTACAGGTTTTAATTTATGAGTCTCATAACTGTTGCAGATATGGAGTCAGAAATTTTACAATGGATTTTGAATAAAATTTAGCCTTTTCTTGCTGCTAATAGAGATTGTGTCAGTGATTACGAAGACAACGCGATTGTTTTCTTCGATGTAGGGCTCAGGCAGTGTTTTTTCTGAGCCATTACTTGCCTGTATCTATTCACGGAGGTTATTTCTTTCCCATGGGAGAGGGAAAAAAGAGAAAAACACCAAGAATTTGGAGATTCTCCCTTAAATTGAATGTATTCCTCATCTAAAATAACTTCCTGTCTTCAACATTAGCAAATGTTTGTTTTTGTAGGCTCAATTTGAAAGTTCTTGTTGGGTAGGAAGAAAAATTTGCAATAGTTTAGGTTTCTTTTTGTCTAATCTTTAGCATGCTTCCAAAAAAGGAAAGGACAAAGTGATAGGAAGAGAGTACGAATGATATCAGAAAAAGAGGTCCTTTCTTCTGATGCCATGGTGAGTTACTGTGACAGCTTGCCCACAAGTCCTGACCCTCACCCTGGAAAGTCAAGAATAGGGAGTCTCAGAAGCTAAGACTGCCTCACACCATGGACAATCAGACCCAAAAGGAAACTGAGGCAGAGCAGGCTCGACATTTCCCTCTAAAATGTAGAGGGGAGATCAGGCAAGACTGTCTCAATGAAACTTATCCTTCAAGTCTTAAGAACAGCCTATTATCTCTCCCTGGCAGTTGAAGTCCCATGATTTATTATTATTGCTAATTAATAATAGGCATGTATATTTCCTAAATATAAACTAGATTTCATAAAATGACCCACTTGACAGCATTTCATGAATCCACATTTCAGTTAATCTATAAGCTCACCCACAGATGCTCTAGCGTTATCTTTGCTTGGCACTGTTGGCTAGCAGGTTGAACAGGTCTAACGTTACTTTTTCCTAGCACTGTTGTCTAGTGAGTCAAACAGATCCATCAAAGAACATCAATAAGTTCAGCAGCTATTAAATCCAAACACAGCACAAAGTAAAATGGGATTTTGCCTGTAATCATAATCTCTCCATGTTATCAATTTAAATTTATCATCATTTTAACAAAAAATAATGCACAAGAAAAGCCAAGGCATAAAATTTTAAAATGTAAGCAGTTGACAAATACATACACAAGTCACAATCCGGAATGTATAAAACAAAGTCAGACTCTTACCTCCTTCCAATTATCTTGCTGGGACCTCCTAATGATATAGGGAAATAAATGTAACATTTCCAATCTGCTAGATGTTAGATAAGTTGAGTTCATGTTCCTAAAAATCAAAAATTGAATTCTAATGAACAATAAAAGTTAAGAGTGGGAAATATTGAGAGAGAGAGAGAGAACGAGAGAGAGAGAGAGAGAGAGAGAGAGAGAGAGAGAGAGAGATTCTGAAAGACAGGAGAAGACCTGCAAAATGGATTGCCTCAGATCTTGTTG